GTGCACCACGTGCACCTCCCTTGAAGACCACCCATAGGTCCATCACCCCAACAGGATGTTTACTTTGCATGACCGCTGGAATATTCTCGATACAATCCCCTATATGGCTTGCCATTCTTTTTTGTCGTATTCCAGTCGGTGGTGAGATTTTTGGTCGCTGAAGTTTTGAGCATTGTTTCTTTTTAATATGCTCAAGAGCGTCTTCCTTATATTCAAGTGAGTCATCTGTATGTCCTCTGCTAAGAGTTATTTTACGACGATTACGTTAACCTTTTGTCCTAAGTATTCCCACACAATCCTTATTGTCCGTGATAACACGTTGACCTGTCCAGCAACCTTTACGTGGAATTGCAGGGGTTTCAACAAAATGTTCTTGTTTTACTCGTTTAACATTAGTGTCTATGGGCGCGCGCAAAGCACTTGGAGCACCGTCGAACTATTTTGCTGCTCTTTTCCAGGAGGTTGCATGCTCATGGATGTAGTCATGTTAGATGATGCACAACTTTTGGGCGTTTCATTGCCATGCTATAATTTATCAAAATAATGTCATGCCTACTCATGATTAGAGCCCAAAAAGCATTCCCGATTATGCTGCCCCACCCTGTATTTTTCCTCTCTCGGTCATATTTCTGGGATATCACCGAATATTTCAAGCACCATATATCTAGCCAAAAGGTATTTTAAGGAAGCAGTTGCCAGTAACCAAACCATCACAAAAAGTCGTTCATCCTGCAGTAGGGGAGAGTGGGGTAATTTGGCCGGTGGTGTAAATTGGCCGCCCCCACCTGTACGATGTCGAATAAAAGTGAGTGAAATAACTCTAGTCTCTATTCATTTGTCATGGGTAGAAATAACTGGAGGACAAATGTCAAAACTTTGCCCCTCGTAGTTTTATTTAAAATTAATAAAACGTTAATTTCATTAGAAAATGGTAACTTTTACTTCTGTTTACAAAGTTGTATAACATGTAGTATTTGGGCTAAAAACGAATTCAGACATTATAGCGCCATTCTTGGGGGTGTTCAGCGGTTCCAAGAGCAATTTCATCTAATTCCGTATAGCCGTGATGACTTTATACACAAAAATTTTCAGAATGGCAATATGGGGTAATTTGGCCGGGACTAGTGGGGCAACTTGGCCGGTGCGCTCATGGTCACTATGCTGGGACGGCCGAGTTTTCATGGTCAATTGTACCATAAATGACATAATTCATGACCAACTTTGACTACTTTGATGCCTTACTTCCGATTGGTCAACTGTAAGAGCATGTGACGTCATCAAAGGTTACCAAACGTTTTTTTGCTAATAAATCCTTACATAAAAATGGTACAGCCGCACAAATGGTCTCATTCTGTTCAGCTCGCCAAGGCGCATCGAATGATATGCATGATGACCTTGAAATCACGTGACCTTGAGGTCAAGCGACCTGAGGTAACGTGACCTGAGGTCAACCTTTGACCTTGACTTCTCGAGGTCAACACATATATGTTTTGATGCGGAATGACGAGATAATTACGATGGTACTCGAAGTTTTGGCCTAGCTTGATTACTTCAAAAGTTATTCGTAAAAAAACTGTCTTCGCATCTAGAGCCGCTAATTTGGCTATTTTGACCCCTGTGACCCCATGAGTCAACCTCCAAAATGTGGTAAATGCGTCATAGGACACACGTCATTGCTGAATCTGAAGCTGACTCGCAATATAACAGAAAATCCTGACCGCAAACTAACACCGGCCAAATTGCCCCACACCCCCGGCCAAATAACCCTGCTAGTGGGGCAATTTGGCCGCCTTGCAGACCTTTGTAATACGTCACAATTTCAATATAAGTAATTACTCTATCATTTCAAGTTCACTGTCCAGTAAAGTAAAATGAATGCGACACCTGCCAGCGTTGAGAAAATGCAGAAATGTGTCGTCAATTTTAAGTTACATCGTTTTCTAAAAAAAGCGGCCAAATTACCCCACTCTCCCCTACGCTTTCTGGGCGTTATTTGTGAACGGCGCCTGGTGTGGTTCGATAGCCGCTGCCTCAGGCCATGAGAGGTGATGACCCGCCGTCCCGAGAGCCCTCACTTTAATACCGTCATTATCCCGAAATGGGAGCGTCATGGGCGAGGCCTGCTCCACCGGCCCTTATGGGCCCAGGGCTTCCCTCGCCTGGTCGGAACGGAGACACGGGCAGGCGGCGGAAATCAACAGAAAAAGGCAGTATAAAAGAAAACTATCAGGAATCTCATGAAAATACACTCCAGAACAAATCCAAAAACGCTGGAGAGCTAGGTTGCATATATGCCTTCTAGAATGATGCTTCCAGATACGGCAATGTAGTTGCTTTGTTGTCGCTGTGATAGGCGTGTTCGTCACATGTCATTTCCATTTATTCTACATGCCTCATGTTCCAGTTCCCTGGGACTATAAGCATCAGAAAAGCATGGAAACATCTTTGTCGCTGGTGAGGAAGACTTTCCATTGCAAGATTGTTTATAATCTTTACACAAAGTACGAATCAACTAAAATTAATCCTTCTGATCAACAAGGCTTGATGTCAGAAATATAAAAACTTCCGATAATTTTTAGGAATCAGACCTTTCCCAGGATGAATCATCTTGTCTCCCTTACATCCTCTCATCGATATCTGTCCAGCTTTTTCATCAGCAAAGATGACAGGTTGTCGTCAGTTACAATAAGGGTGTCAGCCACCACCTGGGCACAGCGTTTATCGTCATTGAGGGGAGGGGGACGCGTGACCCGGTGAGTATTGCAGGTGTTCTTCATGTGATGGCTGACGGCTGATCGGCGGTGCGACCCAGCGGCGTCAGGGAAGGCTGGTGCGCGCACAAGGTATTGGTGATTGGTGATCAAACTGGTGATCGACGGATGCTGCGATCTCGTGAGAGTGATGTTAGTAAAGAAAGGTGATGTGATTTTAGAATGGTAAGGTGGTAAAATTTTAATATGATAAGTGAATTACACAAAAATTGGACTCGTATTTACATCCAATCTTCACTCAGTGATCGGGTGTTACACGACAAAGCAGAACGCATTGTATTCGAAAGAGTGCTGACCATTCCTATGCAGATCACACTGCGTCGGCTCGAGACTTTAGATGTTCTGCATACCGAGCCAACGCAGCGAGGAAATAAAAGTTGTCTCATCCGGTATTGTGTTTCAGCAAGGCACGCCTCTTAACATGGGTCGCATCCGAGAGGTGTCATATTTGACGGGCGCCGTTTCTGAGTACCACAGCTCGTGTGTGCCGTATTGAATACCACAAACCACATGTCGCATGGCTGGATGTCGCTCTCAGCATAGAATGGACTGAACTGAGAGCGCCATCCAGAAGTCTTTCAAAAATACCGTCGTCAGAAAACATTTCTTTCGGCCGATACCGTTGCAGGATAGTCTCGGACTAGGATTGGGTGAATGTTTCGGCTAGCTGTGGTTCCATTGAGCAGTAATCGCCACGCAATTTGAAAATGTGGATCGCTCTTGATTGTACAACACAAATACAAATACATTTACTGTCCATCTGACTCGCGCCACTCCGACCGGACATCCAGCAGACCCCGGCCCGGGAGCGACACCGAGAGGCACGGCCCAGCAACAGCGGCCCGGGCGGTTTGGTTCATTACGACCAGGCTCCGGCCACATTTGGGCGGAGACCAGACATTGGCGCAATCAATGGCACGGCCGAATGCGCCCATTTGCGACCGAATAATGGCTCAGATTCAAACAAAGGCAGCACAAGGGCAACAACCCATCCTGGAGCCGGAGAGAAAGGCTCCACAGGGACGCAATGGAATCAGCGACACTGCATTAGTAAGCTGTCCTCCCGGCCGGTACGGAGAACCAGACAGGTGCATTCCCACTCAGTCTGGTTCGCAGCATCAAGCTGGTGCATCCCCGCTCAGACTGGCTCGCAGCACCAATCTGGTGCATTCCTTTTCAGTCTATAGCTGTGTGGTTACGGTTTAACGTGTGGTGGATGCATTGCTCCGTTGAGACAATAGACGAATAGTTTCATATTTGCACTTGATTGTGAGGTAATGTCTGGAAATCAAACAAATCTCCAGACATTACCAATAGACTTTATTCTGACAGCTTCTACCAAAAACGCTCGATTTTTCAGCCGCATTTTTCCACATGCTTTGATGAGGTTGTCAACCAAAGCAGAGAAGCGAACGCTTTGAATTTGTTTACTCTTAGAAAACCGTAATAATAGCAAAGCCGAAGGAAAATTCCGAAAGGGGGTTATGGAAATGATATTCGGGGACAGCCTCTTCGTTCAATCCAAATCAGAACTACCTACTGGACCATAGGCGGTGGAACAAGGAGGGCACTGGGACACCGTGCCCCCCCTTTGATTTTGACATTTTAACATTAGCCTTATGGGCGTTGCATGGAAAGAATGGGACCAAAAGTCGGCAGTGCCCCCCCCTTAACTGAAGGTGTTCCGGCACTACTGTACTGGACTTAAACATAAGACAGTAGGAGCAGTAACTAAGGACAATACATTATTATCATTACTATTGCCCTAGTCCATTTTTTGCTGCTAATGCTTGAGCATCTCTACTTTGATCAATTTATTTCGTTGAGCTTGGGGGTGCTTCATACCGATGCATGGCAAATCACAGGCCTAATTGAGGTGTGTTTGTTATGTTTGGCATGTATGTTTTGCAGCAAGTAAGTGGCCAATCATTGCTCAGCACTACGCCCATTTTATTATTGTTTTCATATGATAATTCCTGTGCTGGGGTATTAGACTGAAGTCCCGAAACTGCTGTATTGGCTGACACCAGTCGGACAATAATTGTACCTTGTGAAGTTACAAAACTACGGAACACATTATTTTGTCACAACTAAGTGACGATCTTACGGGCAAGCTACTAATTCATTTTTTATGAATGAAGTTCAATACACTAATAAGGTTTAAATAATTTTGCAAAGATCATACATGTTATTAGGTTACACTCCTAGTCCATTGTCCGCTGTGCTCACCTTTGTACAGCTCGGAGTCTCCTGAGCTTGTCGATTCCGCCCCAGCCAGGAGGAGCGTCACAGCCGTCATCCACGTCATCCCTGGCGTCATCGCGCGCCACATCACACTGACGGCTGACGTTGCCCAGCACTGCGTCCAGGCTGCGTCAGTCGGCCGTGAAACACGGGTCCGGAGACGCAGGAGAGCCGTGGACATAAATAACCGCTTCACTCAGCAGTCTAAAGTCTCTAGAAACAATGAGCTACTCCGCTTGGGTCACAAGGCCCATTCTAGCCTCGGCGTCAGGCGTCCTGCTTCATTTGGTGAGCTTTGTTCGGAGGTTCGAAGTTCGGTCTGGCGAGGTCTCTATAGTCTCGGCTCTCTGTGTTCAGCACAAGTCTTTCAAAGCCGACCTCACGTGCGTCTGCCAATGTGGCGCAGTTTCGGCGAGCAGCTGGCGCACCCAAACACGGTGCGTCGCGTCACTCGTCGCCGCCGTGCGACAATCAGCTGTTATTTGCTCCGGCTGTGTCGAAAGCGACGGCAGTGCGGCGGACGGCGCGGCGGTTCCCAGCTCCGCGTCCTCGGCTGCCGCAGCGCGTCGGCAGTGGAGCGGCGGACGCCCCCGCTGAAAAACCAGACACCCGTCAGCTGCAGCTATCGAGATGCGGCCGCCACAGACGGCCAGCCGATCCGTTCAGCACGATAGACAAAGAAGGCTGGAACGATAATCGGACGAATTGGAGCAGTTTCTTTCTCAATGATGCAACAGACAGTGGCAGCGTGTTGGTTATTACCGGAGGGTGCAGGACACATTGCAGACCGGATGGGTCCGACACCGCATCAGTTTCTTTGACCACAAAAAATGGCATTGAGGGTAACCAACTGTGGTATGCAAGAACGGCTGCATAATAAACATAGCCGGCCAGTGGTGGTCCAGAGACCTACTCGGATTTCACGGAAAAGCTGAGCATATAATATTGATGTTGTGTGCGACTTCCACAGAGCTCTGAGCCAGCATGTAATGGCTAACGCCCATTGCAGTAGAATGGAATCCCATTTCTATTGTGGCAGCAATAAAGCACCCTGCCAGACAAATGTATGGACAGCCAATGATACACATCGACAGTATACCACAGTAAATTCGGCATATAAAACAAACAAAACTTTACCGCGGAAGTGTTCGCGCTGCAATAGATGCGGTCGTTCCGGGACGGCTGGTGGCCCGTTCTCAGGACCTTTCAGCACCATCGTGAGGAGGCCATTCTGTCCCGAGCAATGGCCGTTCTACATCATAGGCATCGTCCTGACTACACCTCAGAGTTGCCATTGTTATACAAAGTTGGGCAGGAGCGCTAAGGCATTAAATGCTCAATGAATGTTCGCGATAATTCTCGGAGATGCGGCTATCGGATATCATTACTATTAAATTTTGTTAAACTCGTCGAATGTTTTTATTCTTACAAGTTTTTTTTTCTCTCGCCCCTCTCCCCCCCTCTCTCTCTCTCTCTCTCTCTCTCTCTTTCTCTCTGTTGGCTCTTCACCTATTTTTTTTTACTTTTGCCCTTCTTATATCTCCCTCTTCAGTGCTTTATGTTTTTCATTGTCCTCTTCTTCCCTTTCTTTTCCTTCCTCCAACTATTTTCTTTCATCCTTCCTCGAATTTCTTGTGTCCCTTGGTCCCTCGCCTCCCTCTCTTCCTGTGCTGCTCTCTCTCTCTTTCTCTCTCTCTCTCTTTCTCTCTCTCTCTCTCTCTCTCTCTCTCTCTCTCTCTCTCTCTCTCTCTCTCTCTCTCTCTCTCTCTCTCTCTCTCGTCCATCTCTCTCCATCCCCGGGGGCAGCGCGCCCGCCGAGACAGGTGCAGATGAGAGCCTAATGCATGTTCGTTAGCCCTACACCATGTGCGCCCGACATGAGATACCGTGCCCGTGGGACCCGGAACGACAGAGGCGCTCTAACTCTGCCGCCCGCGCAGAGCAGTAACCGCAATATACACAGCCTCGCCGCCTGACGATAACAAAAGATCTGCCGTGGGGAAATTACGGCCCGCGCCGCACTGCCAAGGGACAGTCGCAAATTATGGGGCATACATGGCTAAAACAAAATACATAAGTTTATATGCGTGAGACGTTTTTATACCCTTTTCTGTTTTGTCCCTCTCTCTCTCTCTCTCTCTCTCTCTCTCTCTCTCTCTCTCTCTCTCTCTCTCTCTCTCTCTCTCTCTCTCTCTCTCTCTCTCTCTCGCTCCGTCTCTTTCTCTCTCTCTTTCTCTCTCTCTCGCTTTCTCTCTCTACCTCACTCTCAAAGAGGAAAAGATAATCATTCGAAAGGACTTGGGCTACTCCACACTTCAATTAAGCCCGTCATGGTAAAATGCAAACTTTTGCCTATTGCTTGTCACATTGGGCGGAAAGTTAGTTCCGTGATGGGCTTAATTGAAATTGTGGAGCGGTGAGTCTCTGCATACTGATTTCCTGGTGACTGATAGTAACAGAGCTCTCGAGGAATCCTCGGTATTGTTGACATGAAACACCTACGACACTTTCATACAATGGCTATGTAAATATAGCCATAGAAACGCCACTGAGATATACCCATTTTACCCATGATTTACGCTTCTAAGCATGTATTATACCAGTATAGCGCCTTTTGGGGCGACTAACGGAGCGAGCGAGGGGGTGACTCTTGCACGTGCGAAATTTTGAGGGGGTACCTCCAACTGACTTGTGCACGGCACCCTACTGACCGGTCTCTAGCGATGTGCCAAATTTGAGCACAATCGGCCCAGCCGTTCTCGAGATCTGGAGGCGGCACCCTGCACGTGCGCACGTGCAGAATGGGTCCAAACTGACTTGTGCACGGCACCCTACTAACTGGTGCCTAATCGTGTACCAAACATAGGCGGCGGAACGGGGAGGGCACCGGGGCACCGTGCCCCCCTTTGATTTTGACATTTCAACATTAGCCCTATGGGCGTTGCATGGAAAGAATGGGACCAAAAGTCGGCAGTGCCCCCTCTTAACTGAAGGTGTTCCGCCGCTACTGGTACCAAATTTGAGCGCCATCGGTCCAGCCGTTCTGGAGATCTGGAAACGACCCCTGCACGTGCGCACGTGCAGCAGCACCCCAACTCTGGCACATGGATATTCAGTGCCTAGTGGGTGCCTACCTACATGCCAACTTTCAGCGCAATCGGCCAAGAAGTTACCGAGATATTGCAACAATTACAAAACTGACACCTCTTCGTTTTGCACGTGGCACGTGCATAAGGGGTCACCCACATGCATCGGGAATAGTGCAATACTTGGTAGAAGGAATGAAGCTACCCTACAAAAATTACCGCGTGTAAATCGGTCAAGTGGTTGCTGAGATATAAGCCTCGCAAAAGCGTCCGCACGGCCGGCCGGCCGGCCGGCCGGCCGCTCATACTCAGAAATTTCCGTTATTCTACGTAAGACTCCGCTCGCTTCGCTCGCTCCGTAATGATATACTGATCAATTGTGTAGTTGCGGTGATTGAATGAGATGCAAGATTTTCTGACAAATAACACTTACATAAAACATGTGGGCAATTAAAATTCGGATTTACCATGTTTAGTGAATTTGTCGCCCGTATGTTTGATATGAACAGGTTCATTTTAGAACAATATAGTCTTGTATTCAAAATAAACACTATTGGTAATGATTCAGCATAAAAATGACGAAAACATGAGCGTTCTCAGTTTCCAACATTAAGTCTAAAAGAAATTAAAAAAAAAAATAAAAGAGATTTACTCTAAAAGAAATTGCTCTCGAGTGTTAGATGGATTTTTTTCTACGGCATAAACGACGCATCCTTAAAAAAAGCGGTGTTTGCAGCTTGTCCAATTCTTGACAAATTTAGCGTAATCCTCCAGATACAACTGATCACATGTTAGCCAAGTCAACATCATCATCCATGAAGAAACGATAAGGTGTCAAGACATCCCACAGGAATGTATTGCTGAGGAATAATTATTGTATGACTTGTGAGAATATAACAAAACCAGTGGAGTAGACTTTTTTCTGAGAACATCTAAAGTCCACCACCAAAAAATCACACTGGTTACTACGTAAACTACTCACCGTATTCTGCGCGCCCGTCTTCGTTAGGGTGAATGCCAAAAAGCGCTCTTAGTCTGTGTTACGGGGTGAGGGAATAGGTTGGTCACCACGCGCGCCGCCGCCGCCTCCGCCGCCACACCACTGACGACTGCCGCCGGCGACGGTCGGAGGCGCGGCGCCTCAGCCCCCCCCCCTCCGGTCCCCTCCCCAGCTCCGGGCTGACCCGCCCCGGCTCAGCCTGAACTCTGAATCTCCGCTGACCGCCCTCATATGAAGGAACTGATATGAACGGAGCGCCTAAATCGGTGGCACATTGCAGCTTGACGTAAAAGAGAATTGCAACAAACGCTGCATTATTGAAACATTGGGGAGTAGTCCGGGGCCATCGGATTCATTCGTGAGGCAGCGTTTTAGCCGAGTTCAACCTCCCATTGCCTTGTAACATTTAATGGTTGTACCTATACCTATATGTAGCCTGAATTCTCATTACATTGTTCATGCGCAAATATGCATTGGGCAACATTTACTATTAGTTGTGTTATGACATTTGCCACTGATTGACGACTCATATATTTGAAGTGTCACTCAGTAGAATGTCAATATAATATATAAGAGCCATATATTTACAACATTACATTACATTTTTTTTATTCTCGTCTATCGCATTTATGAACATATCATGCCAACATTACTGGTTCGCTGCTTCATATGCGTAGTAATTTTGTTATTATTGATCTCTTCGTCGTCCTGTGCTTTATGCATTCATTATAATGAGCATGTCAGCCTGGTCAACCTTGTTTGACAAAAGCAGCGTCAAATGTGTTTGCTGTAGACCTTTTGAACGGTTTATATCCCTGGCTGTCTCCCCTGCTATATATTTCACCAACACAGTTCAATAAAACGTTTGCTTTTTACAACTGGTTACTGCATGGAGCTCGGACCGAGTTATCAAGAAAAGCCATCAGTGAGGGGACACTGGAATATAAATATAGCTATATCCTATAAAAAATATTACGATAACATTTTTTGTCAACAAGGTGGTTTCATTTTGTTGCTTTTTTCATACCAATGAGTATGGTCATGTGCAAAAAATAGCTTCATCATTAAGTATGCTTTAAATACCCGACCAATTAACCCGCGCCCGGCTGGGGGTCCTGGATTTCCACGCCCTGCTGGGGGGGTGTTCAAACACCCCCCCTTGTAACTCGGCTCCTGGGCCACGTAGCGATACGCGGAAGGCGGCGTTCGAAAGAGCGTCAAAAATAATGACGAAATCACTTCGGTCAATTTTTTGGTCAGGTCAAAGGTCAGGTCACCAGAGGTCATTGAAGGCAAAAATTCGCCGATTTCCAGGTCGAATGTCGAAAATTTCCAAGAAGCTAACGCATAACTCGAGAACCAATAGAGCTACAGCGCCGCGGAAAAGCGCATTCGATAGCCCTTTTAACGCCCTTTCTGAGTAATTCTCTCAGATTTGACCTAACGTCAACGGTTTTGCCTGCAGGGGGCAAAAACTGCAAAAATAGCCGATTTTTTCGGAAACAGTTTTTCTGCAATAACTTTTAACCCAAGCCTTGTACGAGCTTACTTTTACCGGCATTGTGTTCCTCTCGTCAAGACGCATCGAATGAACTATAAGTTGACCTTGAAAGGTCAACTTGAAAATTTGACCTCAGGTCAAGGTCATGACCTGACCGGAAAGGGTCATGTTGCATACCAGTCGATCCGTATCGTCGAGCTGAACACATCTAAGGCGTTTTCATCGCTCTAGCATGGCTCTATCAAAAGTTATTTGCGAAAAACTGTTAGATACCATTCGTGACCTAAGATGACCTCAGGGCATAAACAAGGGTCACAGACACCATTTTCATGTTCATTGTGTCTAAAACACTTGTAATTCGGTGTTTGGGAGTGTTTATAATGTCTTTTGTCCAAAACAGACGCTTTTCAATTTTCTCCCATTGACTTATAATGGGGAGGTCGCAAAATTGACCTGACCTTAGGTCATCGATATCAAAATTCTGAGATATACATTTTGTACATGCTATTACTCTTAGCAATCGCTGAAAGTTTCAAAGCGATCGGTCACTCGGTGTAGCTATGACAGACATTGAAACTTTTTATGAGGTGAGGTCACTTCAAGTGACCTGGTGACCTGACCTTGAATGACCTTGGTCTGAAATTTTCACAACATGTGTAGAATTGATGTATGATAAGGTGTACCAAAAACGGCGGCGCTCCGCGCCGCCGTTTTTGAGATATTCGCGAAAAACCACAGGGGGGGGGGGTGTTCAAACACCCCCCCAGCAGGGCGCGGGTTAATTATCCATCACAAGGTCTGTTGGCCCTCGGAGAAGCCCGGCAAGATCACGACGGGCTTCCACTTATGGCTTCTTAACATCGCCTCAAAGTGCAAAAATCACACCGAAAAGAGCGCCGCCCTGCACGAAACGTCCGGCCTCGTGCCGATGTTGCCTCCAGAGAGGCCCTCGAACGCTTTTTCGGAAGGTTTGAACATTGCTTTGAACCGGTTGATCGTTTGCCCTATAAACTATGCTTTAGCCACCACATTTATGTCTAAATTTGTCCAAATCCGGCCATGCGCGGGATTTCCGTGTGGAGCACGGTTTCCCGTCTGCCGCGGTGACACTTCAGTCATCGTGTCGGGCCGGCAGACGGGTGGCAATCAGCCGAGGTGTCATCACCAGAGCGGGACGGGTCACAGGTGGCGACAGGCACGCGCTGAGCGCACTCTGTGCCGCTGCAGACCGCACCGAGGCGCTCTAATACCCATACGTCTGTCCTGTGTCCCAACCTACCACCAAGGGGTTCTGGTCGGTCACATAAAGACATGGTTTTCCCCCAATTCGGCCCATCCACACCGCCGCCAGCTGCGGCGAGGCTGAACGTGATGTTCCGTGTTTATGGTTGTAGCTCAGGAGGCTATGAATAATGTCAACTGGACTCATTTGTCCACCACACATTTAGCATTGATGTGAACAGTCAACACGGCTAAGTTTTGCATGCAGTGGCGAAGTTTTACCATGAGTTTCATCTTCAGGATATAACGACAGAAAACTATCTGAAGTTACAGTAGCATGGCCATTGGCCACGTCACTTGAATTATGGTGATGCATTTTTCATCTACAGGACTAGCAAGGTGACCCAAAATTCCGCTTATTTTTACTCAACTATCAAGGGTGACGATGGACTTGATATGAAGGGAACGTTGCAGAGCTTTGACATTGAACTACACGCAAACTTGATAATGCACTTGAGGTGAAGTGCAGCTTCCAGTAACACCATAAATTACATCTATGAAAGTCGGCAATCATCTCCAACCACCGTGTATGACTCAGGTCTCGGGCCTCGGCAGTTTGTAGCCATCTGCCGTCGACACTGTCAGTGTGGGCCGGCCTTAATGAACGTGTGTTTACCGACTCCGCGTACCAGTGTTTGGGAGCGTCTTACACAGTGGGCGACCACCCGAGCCGCAAGCTGACGCACACAAACGCACGCACTCTAACAGACCGCGAGAGCAGCCTGGCACCCTAACAGACTACGCCGACAGAGTACCGCTCTAACAAAACGTGCCGACAGACTCCAGCGGCTTTGGCAGTCCTCGCCGACAGGCTACTACTCTGACAAACCGCGAGAACAGGCTGCTACTCAACAGAGCACGAGAACAGACTAACAAACCGCACCGACAGACTGCTGCTCTAACAAGTCGCGTCAACAGACCACAGCGGCTTTGGCAGACCGGCCGGCCAGACTGCCAACCGACAGACAGCGCTAACGGACCGCCACAGACTGAGAACCTCACTGAAAGACTGTCGGACTGACAAGACTACCCTTACCGACAAGCTGCTTCAGACTGACTTATCCCGCCGACAGACTGCAGTAGGCTTTGATAGAATACGCTTGCATCCTGAAACACACTGGCAGGCCGCACTATAGCAGTCTGAATCAGACTGCATACATATTAAATTTGTCGTTTAGTTTGTTCATAGCCGTTCCACAATAGCTTTTGTGAGCGGGAATGCGCCTCAAGCACCCCTGGTTCTCACTGATAGAGAGGCTAAGAGCGTCTCTCCTCCCTCCACCAGCCTCTTCTCGGCGTAAACAGCACTCCCTTATCTGCACACGCCTGAGAGTGGATGAGAGTGTCGGGACGGAGCTACTCGGCATTCGCAGTGAGTCTGTCACTATTGCTGGGAATAAAATGCTTGCTGAAAAAGAATGAAATTTGCATGGACGAAAATGAATTAAGGTATTATTATTTCATTGATACTTGAGGCCCTTGAGAGCTTTCGTCCTTATCAATTCTCATAACTTCTTACAAGAAGTAAAAAGTTGAATAAAAAACAGCCGAATTTTACTCAAAGTATTACAAGAAACATACAAATATGGAAATTATTCGCAAATTAGCATTATGTTTCACCACCAGTATGGAGCCATACCTAGCCCGTTAGTTGCAACGCCTTATCAGTTAGGGCCAGAGCCCCGAGGTCAGCGGGATCCATATGTTTCTCAGCAGATGACCCCAGGGCCCCGACAGACGTCAGTACCCCCACAGTACCGTCCATGGCATGCGTCAGCCTATTTCTGCACACAGAACGGGATCAGTCGCCATACACGATGTGACACTGGACGTTCAAATATCTAATTCCACTACAGCACTGGCTTTATCGCGGCAAAGAGTCAACCAACGAAGCATATCGGACAGATATCCTTGGAGACAAATATCCTTGGCCTGAGATATCTCTGCTTTCAAGAAGCTGACGGAAAATCAAAAGGGCTGAGAGTGCCACTGGTTTGTCTGTTGAAAGCCTTGACAATAGCTCTTAGTAGGCCGCTTTTGTCGCAGTCTGTGCGAAATGAAATCATGTGAAGAGACGCCGAGAGGCTGCAGTACATCTTACTGGTAATGGCCTCGGACAAACAGGGGAGGGACGATGTTTGGTTCCTAGACAAGGAGGTCTGTTCATTCTCTCTCATTTCAAAATAAGTGGTCTTCATGTAAAATTGCAAGTGCACCTTTGTGAAGAAAAAGAAATGGTCGCAACCGTATTGCTATCACATTTCTTCCAGCTTCTTCTTGAAGGATGCTAAGAAGCAACGTTACAAGGAAATGCTGCCTTCCCAATATACCT